TTGAGGGTAGAGTAGTAGAAAAGAAAGGTTAGTAAAAAGGTACTGCGCGGAGTGATGGTGGGCGCAGGCTATGGCAAGAAGTAGAAACCAAGATCGTGCCCGATCCTCGGTGGAATCGACTGAGTTAGAGTGTTAGTCGGGGGTTTCTGAGGCTGGCGAGCACGAATCTACAGTTGGAAATAGTTAAAGGTTAGTGGAATTGAAGTTAGTAGGGAGGAACTTGCGCAGGAAATGGCGGGAAAGTGAGGAGAATGAGACAAATGAATCTGGGCGCAGCGGAGCGCCAGGTGCATGCGACAGGGGGAAAAGTGTAGAACGGGGGTTTTTAAGCTGGGCTAGTCCGTTGGAGGTATCAGACTAGTGAAAGAGTTAGTAAAAGAGGAGTAAATTAGAAGATAGGCTGCGCCGGGGGTGAAAGCGGGAAAACGGTGAGTGTATTTGGTCGGGTTTTGGTGTCGGGTTCACTCGATTTGGCCCCGCCCCGTCGATGGCGTAATGGGAGGCCGACTGTCGTGCGCACCTCGAGAGGGAGAAGGGGGGGGGTGTTGAATCACTGACTAACTGTGTCGAATAGGTGTTTTCCCCGGAGTGCAGGAGAAAGTAACGAGGAACGACGGATTGAGAGCTCTTTCTTGATTTTATGGGTGGTGGTGCATGGCCGGCCATAGTGACGGGTCAGAGATTTTCTCGTCGTAGGACTATGAGGAGTACCGGGGGGGGATGTTGTTTCATTCAGACGGAATCGGTCGTACTATTGTGGTTTGGGCGGGCTGCTTGGAGCTGCTGACCGGCTGCATCAGATTATGATGCCACGGAGACACGACCCTTCATTGTCGAAACGGATGCGGGGCCAATTGCCTTAGGAGGAGTTCTAATCCAGGCAGACATAGAGGGAGAGGAGAGGCCTTTGATATTTGAGAGTCGGACTCTCTGTACGACCGAGAGGAACTACTCTCAGTTCAAGAGGGAGACCTTTGTCGTCCTCCACTGTCTGCGAATTTTCCGGAACTACATATTCGGCAGGAGGTTTATTTTGAGAGTGGATCCGACCGCCCTGGCCTACTCTCTAAGGAATTACGTTCCATCGGATCCGACGGTCGCCAGATGGTTGACATACATCTGGATGTTTAATTTCGAATTGGAACGGATTCCTGGTAGTAAGAACCGGGCGGACGGGCTGAGTCGGATCAACTGAGATAAACAGGAAGGAGGGGCGGTGGAGAATACGCCCCCAGTTGGTGGATTTCAAGACCAGGAAGAAGATGTCCGTCTTCATATCAACCAGTGGTCGCCGCGAGTACCCAGCTGTGTAGGCTATCCTATCTGGCAAGCGCCGAGTGGGTACGAACGGAGGGCTGAGCTAGTCCTCAAACCCTTTGAAGAAGAGGATCCCTGGGGTGGTAAGGATGTTCAGTGGATGATGGAGTTGGCGTTGGCTAGTTCGCATAATCTGGTGGAGGACATGAGGACGATCGAGGAGGGACTAGGCCAGGTAGAACGGCATGAGAACCTGATGGGAGGAATGTATCTCCTCGTCAACACGTTATTGCAGGAAAGTCTCGACCAGTCAGGCTCGTTGAACCCGGCAGGGAATGTGGACGAAGTGCCCGATAGTCAGGACGACGAGTTCGAAGAGGGGGAGATTAAGGAGGTCTTTCGTGCAGAGGAGTATGATGGGATCTACCTAGAGTTGGGACTTCTTTTGTCCTGCGAAATGCGGCTAAGGGATGCAAGCGATAGGGCTCAGAGGATGCTGAAGCGATAGGGCTTAGAGGATGCTGCAGCGCTACTTAGTGCGAGACGGCCACCTTTTCGTGAGAAGAGAAGTGGGGAATCCCAGGAAAGTCGTCTGCGGTAGGAATCGTCAGATCGACGTCATAGCAGCGCTTCACGATGACATTGCAGGAGGGCATCGAGGGGTACAAGCCACGTATGCCAAGATAAGTGAGTTGTACTACGGGGATGGGATGATGGACATGGTCGGGAAGTTCTGTCGATCTTGCGTACCTTGCCAGGAGAGATCCCTTTTAAGGCAAGGAGAGCCGCTGCATCCAAGGCTAGAGCGAGAGGTGGGGGCTGTAGTGCATCTCGATCTACTTTTTATGTCGCTTAGGGATCAGGGCTATAACTATATCTTCGATGCGCACGATAACCTGTCTGGCTTCGTAGGCGGGCGTGTTATTCGCACAAAGACCGGGTCAGTCCTGGTGAGCTGCATCGAGGAGTATTACCTGCGCTATCCTTTCGTCAGGGAATTCATAATGGACAGGGGATCGGAGTTTACCTGCTAGGAGGTGCAAGAACTGTTATCAAGGTATGGTGTGGCAGCCAACTACACCACGACCGCGCACCCCCAGGCAAATGCTCCCGTGGAGAGAGGACATAGTACCATTACGAGCGTCCTGGCTAAGTGGACCGAAGGTAGGCCTAATCAATGGCCAAGGTACCTAAGAGCGACGTTTTTTTGTCGAGAACATTACAGTATAAAGATCCACCAAGTACGCACCTGCGACGCTGTGGTACGGGAGGCACGCCACCTTCCCTATCGAAAGCTTTCTTAAGACATGGAGGCGCCAGGATCTGGAAGTTAGCCTGTCATTTGAACAGTTGCTCGATATCCGGGCGCGGCAGATAGGGGCGGTAGAAGAAAGGATCCAGGAGGCGTCTGATCAGGTGGCGAGAAGCCGTATGAATGATAAGGCTCGACGGGATCAGTCTGCGCGGGTGAGGAAAGTACCCTTGGCAGTTGGGGATGTCGTGCTTCTCTACGATTCATCACTGGAGAAGCAATGGTCCAGGAAGCTCGATAAGAGGTGGTTAGGTCCCTATCGGATCGCACGGGTCGGAGACTTCGGAGCGTACTAGATTGAGGAGCTAAATGGGACTGAGTGGAAGGATTGGGTATCTGGAACGCGACTGAAGAAATTTGTGGCGAGAGAAGAGGTAAGAGAGATGACCTGACTGTCTTTAGAATAGAAGTAATAGGATGTGTAGGTCAGGTAGGATGCATGCTGCATGAGTGTGGTCTGGTCTGAGCTTGCTTTGACTATCACCTGTTTGCTTACCCCAATGTGTGTCTGTTGTCTTCTTCGCCTGTTGTGCAGGTCTGACTTTACGAAGGCAGTCATGCCAAGAGGAGGGAAGGGGACACGGCCGCCGCGGAGGCCGTTGGGCGCATCAAGAGGATATGAGCGGCATGGGCCTCACCATCGAGAGAGCATTCCAGAGTACGACGGTGGCGACATCGAGCTATTCCTAGACAACTTCTGGGAGCATGCGCGGCGTATGGGTTGGACCGTGACCCAAGGGATTGAGAGGCTGAGGGGAGTCGGCAGATTTGAGGAGCCCGTTGCGCGGATCCGTAGGGAGGCGACAACGAGGTCAAAGGTGGAGTTGAGGATGCAGGAGCTGCGACCCTCGCCAGTGGGGTCTGATGGCAGACCGATCCGCCTGGAGATTGAAAATGCGTCGGACTTCATCCCCGCGTTTGAGTGGTTCATGCACGGGCAAGATATACCGAGAGACGATTGGATGCAGACATTACCACTCTGGACCAGGAAGGCGGAAAGACCACTGGCTAGGCAGGTCAGAGGCATGGCCCGGGACTGGGAGAGCTGCAGGGCACATCTGAGAGAGGCCTTTCAACGACCAGAGCCCCCTCAGCCCAGAATTGAGAGGCATCAGAGGAGTCCGAGGCAGAGGGACCCTGAGCCCAGGGAGGCGAGACCATCTCGAGGAGGACGGAAGGCCCTAGCCAGGAGAGAAGAGGAACCGGAGCCGGAGCCAGAGGCTGAGGAGCGAGGGGCATACCCTGAGTGTGGGTTGGGACCAGTGGAGTTCCATCGGTTTACCGAGGGTGGATTGAGGAGGTCGCCAGCACGCACGCAGGAGGAGCTGCCAACATCTGAGGGGCACTTGAGGGAGTTGGAGGCGCATTTGGATATCTCTTGGTGGAGAGCGTCGCCTCAGGGTGAGGAGTGTGGAGAGCAGGCAGAGGGGGTGCCTCGAGAGGAGGTGCCACGAGAGGAGGTGCCTCGAGAGGAGGTGCCACAAGAGGAGGTCCAGGATACTCAGCGAGATAGAGAGGTAGGCGATGAGGGGAGACGTGCAGGGAAGGAAGTGATAGAGGTTGGAGAGGACACGCCCCCTCAAACGCCAGCGGTGGGTTTGAGACTCGGGGATGCACCAGGGAGCACTCGCCAGGGAGGTGAGAGGTTGCAGAGAGAGGAGGCCCCATTGCCTTCATCAGAAAAGACCCCTTCGCCAGAGGGGAGAGCAGAAAGGAGGAGAGAGAGGGCAGTTGTAAGGAAAGAGGCTTTGACCCTGATTGACAGGCACCTAGCAGCTCATGCCCTGGAGCACCCAGACCTGGAAGAGCCAGCACCTGCAGAGCCGCGCCAGGAGTCGTGTCAGCCCGAAAAGGAGATGGAGGCAGAGATCCCAAAGAGGGTCGACCTCCGCACGAGGGAAAGAGCGCCAGCTGGAGAGACAACTGAAGAAAAGAGGGCGAGAAGAACCAGGAGGATAAACGAGATATGGCAAGAGAGGCAGAGGTTGGAGGCAGCGGGGGAGCTTCCGGAGCAGCAGCAGGAGAGGCAGAGATCGGAGGCAGCAGGAGCACTCCCAGGTCAGCCACCCAGCGCGCCAGCTAGGGCCCCGGAGATCCCAGAGATGTGGAGGAATTTCTGGGAGCAAAAGGGAGAGGAGCTTTCGTCGCCAGTCAAAGCCGAGTTTGGGGTGGCCAGTAAGGCAGAAGAGAGGTTAGACCGCAAAATCAAGTTCCTGGCCAAGACAACTTTTGACCGGCACTTGTTATTGGAGGGCGATCTGGCAGGGAAGAAGATAAAGGAAGCAAGCCATGGAGTACGCCTGGAGGCTATGGAGGTGGAAATCCAGGAACTGAGGGTATCGGTGGCCAGCCAGACAGCTATCATTGAGAGTCTGAGGCAGCAAACCCAGGGAAAGGTGGACAAGCCAGAGAGCAGTAGGCAGGGAGAGCAGAGGCAGCCAGGACATGGGTTACCAGGACAGCCATCTGCAGCAGAGTCTCGCCAGGAGTCACCTATGGGGAGAGTTATCCTGGAGCCACAGGAGGCGAGAGCCCAGAGACAGGCGGAGAGAGAGGTCTTTGAGTTCAGAACCCTACCGAGCTCGCGACGCTGCCTGTAGCAGCGGCAGGCCCGGTCGTACCTTTGGCAGTTGAGGAGGGGCTACCACCATCTAGCAGTGAGCCGGCTCAGGGCTCAGCAGAGGGTTCCATGGGCGTGCTCCTTGAGGCAGTGCATACCATGCAGGAGGAGGAGAGTTTGTTTTGACATGAGCAGAGGATAGTGGGGATTGAGGCGGAGGGTGCCATCGAGGGCGGGCTCCAGAGGTTGGGCACGCCTGAGTATGGGCCAGAGGAGATTGAGGAGCAGCCCATGGTAGTACCAGGAGAGATACTCGAGAGGAGACCTCAAAGGTTGGACACGCCTTAGTACGTCCCAGCAACAGGGGATTTGAGAAGCAGGCTGGGATCTTGGGCTACTGGATCTGGGTCTAGGGGACCGGTTCCTGGGATAGAGCAGCAGGAGGTCGTTAGTACTGCAGCTCCTCGATCGGAGCAGCAAGGGGTTGTCAGTACCTTGATAGGGTCTCCTTCATCGCCACCTCCTCAGCCCAGGAAGAAGAAGTTCAAGAGGAAGGTTGATCAGCTATGCTTCTACTGCAAGAGGGGCATGCATCTGGCTCTGGACTGTCTCGAGTTCCTTGAGGATAAGGCAGAAGGGAAAGTCTCAGAAGCAGGGGGTAAGATGTATGATAGACAGGGTAGGATAGTAGAGAAGTCCGCAGATGGACTTAGGGCTCAGTTATATAGGCAAAACCAGGAGGAGTTGAGGAGGTAGGGCCGGTTTGTCTATGTAAGTGGTCGAGTATCTTGTGAGGCATCAGCTTAGGCTCTGTGTGATACCCTCTTAGACTTAGAGGACCTTTTGATGATTGCTACTAGTCTAGATCTGAACTCTAGTGTTCCTACTGAGCTGGGGTTTTGAGGATCAGGGTGATCTAGATGAGGCATGTACATATTTAGGTGGCCTACGCACTGGCTTTGAGAGACAGATTTGACATGCATTTTAGGGATAATTGTCAGCGTGAGTTTGGTGTGGCTTGAGTTGAGTGAGCTATGATTTGGAGGCACTTTCTCTGTGAGACATTTTATTTCCTGAGTGTATATTATGATGAGTTTTCTTTTCAGGGACCATTACTATATGTGACGATCACTTGTCTCTCTCACATGTGTGGTTGTACTTTGATGTATGGTGGGTTTGTGTGGACAATGTGTGAAAAATAATATTATCTTGTTATGGGTACTGTGAATATGATTGTAAGCAAAATTGTCTACTCCTCGGTATACTTGTGCGGTCTGCCCACGGGCAGCTGATAAGGCAGAGTATAAGGGGAGGAAGCGCAGCCTTTTTGTGAAAAGGTTGTGAGGATTTTTAAGATTTATGAGCCCAGAAGGCTCAAAACGCTTACCATGCTGATTATTGATTGCTTAAGTTGTGATGAGGACCCATGAGATGGTCTCTCAGTGATGTTTGTTTTATAATAAGCCCCCCTTTGATATTGGAGAAGGGGATGTTTTGTGATGTTGTATGTTATGATGAGACCCCCTCAAATTTTTGAGGAGGGGAGTTTGGTTTTATGATGAGACCCCTCGTGATTTTGGGAAGAGGCGGTGTTTAATTTTATAATGAGAACCCCTTGGATTTTTGGGAAAGGGGATGTTTTTGTTGTTGGAAGACTCACCTTCAAAGGTGAGTAAATTGATTTATGGCATGGTAAGTTATCTGATGAGTGATAAAGTCTAACAAAAAGGGGTCATTTTTGTTTGGAATGTTTGAGAAGGTCGCAATAAGTGCATGGCGAGATGATGTCTCAGGACGGGTGGCTGCTGACTCTGATCAAGTCAGGGGTCACGGCCTGGTGGACCTAGCGGTGATTTTGTTTGTGAGCGTGCGAAGGATGCCATGCCTATTGTGGAAGGGCTGGTAAATGTCTTCGGACCCCTGTGTATCGCACAGTAGACCTGCGATTTTGTTTTGCGACGCCCCGTCTAACCACCTGTGCTAGTTCTGGGACATATTGAAGAAATGTCAAACTAACGGAAAAGAAATTAGTACCTCTAGGGCGTAACCCCATTGGATGGCTGCTAGCCGGCGCAACCTGGTTGCGGGACCGCAGGGTAAGAGTTTAAGGGGGGTTGCCCGCCCCAGTGAAATTACTTCGCGGGATAGTGATGGTTGATAATTTTTGGGGGAAATCCTGATTGAATGCTTATCAGGAGAAAATCTATCGTTGCGTAACCAACGAGGGTACTGACGTTAAATAACAATACGGTGGGCCGTGGTCCTGGTCCGATCAGCCAGGCTATGGTGAGCCAAGGTGGAGACCTAGCCTTTCTGTACTAGACTGCAGAAAGAGCTGAGCGGATATTAAGTATACGTATATGCTTATGAGTATTTGATTGCGAGATATTTTTTAGAAGGAAGGCGAGAGTGCCTTCAAAAGTCCCGATTAAGGCCCGCGTCCCTAGTTCTTGCCAAGACTAGGGGCACCTAACAAGAAGTCGAAGGTGTCTAGGATCGGGGAGAGGACGATTGGGAAGGTCTTTGGAACTTATGCGGTCAGCGTCCTAATTTCTAGGCGGTGAGAGACCCAGGTTAGAAACCTGGCAGCATATAGCTGTGGAGGCATTTTTTGATGGAGGCCTCTACCCTGTGTTTGTCGGCTAATCGGATTCACTCCCTTCTCGTCAGCATTTGAAGTGTGGATGGATTTATAGCCTTCTGATTTGGCGAAGCGACGGGGACGTCGCTTAATATGGTCCGGTAAGCTGTCGGTGCGAATACCCTTACAAGGGTATCCGCCCTGTTTTTTTTGCAAGTAACATAAAATTGTTTGGTTTAAAGTTCAAGTATACTGCGCTAGGCGCGGCGGCGTCTGTGATTTATGTTGACAGGATGGTTGACTAGAATAGAGAGTGTGTGGGCGCGCAGGCTTAAGGCGCGCGTGATTTTTTTCGTTTTGATCAGAGTTGTAAAGCCGGCGTGGACGCCGATCGTTTTGTGTTATTATAAATGTTCTGTATTATTTTTGGTGGCCGTGTACGTAGGCGTAGGCTGAAGGAAGTCACAGGGCGCTTCGCGGCCCTGGACGACTGCGCCGTATCAGTTCACATGGGGTCTCGGACTTAGTTGTTAAAGGTTTGGGCTTAGCCCTATAGGTTACGACCCTGGGCTACTACTACGGAGGTTTGGAAGTCGAGGGCCGGACGGGGCTATCCCCCTTTGGTTTGGCGGGCGGCGACGTAAAAAAAAAGGGTTGTTTATTATTTTTGTCATTATTTACACGTCGATATTTCTTTCACTTAGACGCGAAGCCGGGTTTTTGTAATCACCACGCCAGTCGAGGACCTAGAGCACGTGCCCCTTACGTATGACTCATGGGTTTCTGTATGTTCGGGAT